TTGAATGATTTTTGAATCTTTATATCAATAATAATAATAAAAATTAATTCACCAAACTTTAACTTCTTTAAATAATCTGGCAGTTTTAAGAAAATCAAATTAAGCTGATTATTTTGAAATATTTATATAATTCTATAAATAGTTGGCAGTAATGTGAAATAGCAAATGACAACAATATTTATGAATGTTGTAGGATTTCTAACTCATATCTGAATTTTGACAAGGCAGATATAAGTTCTTTTGATACAAGCACAATGAATTTAAAAATAAAACTTTATCCAGGGAAATATATGGCAATTTTCAAACCATTGAATTAAAAAAAATAGCACAGATAAAGTATGGATTAAAATCTGCCTTTAAAAAATGTTATGGAAATTAAATGTTACGACTTATGTGGTAAACTCCACTTCTTAGTAATATAATATAAAAGTGATAGTAAATAAATGTTAGAAATACATTCAGGGTTGTTTTGTTCTACAATTGTAAGGAGGAGACACAGAAACAAAATTTAGCCTTATAAAAATTATAGCCTTATAAAAATTGGTAAAATATACAACCTGGATTAGTGGAACTACAAGATGGATCAGTGGAAATTCCATGCTGATTGACAACTAAGATTATCTGATGATCTCATGTGTTTATACTTCTCTCACTCATTGCCTGTACATTCTCATTCTTTTCCTTATCTCACTACCTGAACCCATAGAAATTTCAAGGGTATTAACAACTAAGATTATCCATTATCTCATACTTCTGTTCTTCTCTCAGTCTTTGCTTGTATCTTCTTATTCTCTTCCTTATCCCACTACCTTAATACATGGAAATTTTGAGGGTGTTAACAATTCAAACTATCCATTATTTCACTCTGTTCCTGTATCTTCTCATTCTCTTCCTTATCCATTCCAATACAATGAACATTATCAATTTTCTCATACATCTGCTTCCTTTCACCCTTTGCATAGATTTCTAATTTAAATAAATGTCATACTGTTTATTTCCTAATTAATAATATTACATATATAGTGTTCAATAAATTATATAATATTTAAAAATAGGTTGTACATGTAAATAGAAAATTTCTCCACCGCCTTAACCAGGTGTTGAACTTACACTCTTTGGGTTCTGTCACTGGATCTAACCAATGCCTTTATCCCCTGTGCCATGTATTCCTGCGGATAAAGGCATCTAATTTCCTGAAAAACTGTTTTTAGATTTTATGAATTTTAAGTGACTAATTCTAATGAATGACTGCTGAATGTTTTCTGTACATAAAAGCTAATTTCACCATTGCCATTCCAAGGGAATATTTGTATAAACATAAATTTACATGTGAACATTTTTTGTTGTTTATATATTTTCTCTATTTTAGCCAAATATCTTCAAGAAACAAATAAACCTTTACAAATATTCAGTCACTTTACAGATTAATCACATGTGTAAGTAGAAAGAAGCACTTTTTCCACAATGTTGGATAATCGCATTTTTTTTTAGTATGGAGCAATGGGACTGATACTAAGTTAAAACTTAATTAAAAAAACAAAAATAACTTTTTCTCCCCCCCACCTTTTTGGTAAGTATTCCAAAATGTCGGCAATTAAACCGACTATCCCACACCAAGTTACGAGTGAGGTGGCTCATTAGCAAGCCAGTGGGACAAAAAACAAAACCTAACATAGGGTGGAGGAACTCTCTGAGTCAACGGCCAGCTAACTAAAGGTGGTGTCTCCATAAACCACCTTGGAGAAGGCAACGGAAAACCACTCCACTACCAATCCCAAGACAAATCATGGTTAACAACTCAGATTATATGAAACCTAATGGCATAGAGGGGGTAAGTCTATGGGAATTAGCTCCTCACCTAGTAAAAACCAACATGCACAACAGGTGTAACTGGACTGTCATCCAGCGACTGCTAGCATAATTGGCATAAAAGGGATAAAATTCCTCAGAACTGATCCCTTGCTCAAAAAGGAATGACATGAGAGTCAGGTGTCACCAGACCGTTATCCTGCAACTGCTCACATCAAACACAAATTAACTCTTGGGACATGGAACATCGGCACATTGAACAACTGTGGCAAGTTTGATAATGTTAAACAAGAGATGAACAGGCTTAACATCAACATTCTTGGTGTATGTGAAACCAGATGGCCAAACAACAGTGATTTTGACAGTGACAAACACAGGATAATTTATGCAGGTGGCAAGAAGAACAACAAAGGAGTAGGACTAATACTAGATAGTGCATTTCAGAAATACATTCTAGGATACCACCAACTTTCTGAAAGAATTCTGGTAGTGAAGCTGAAAGGGAAGCTGTTCAACATGGCAGTTATGGTAGTGTATTCACCAACGGCACAAAGCAAGGAGGAGGACATCAAATCTTTCTATTTCATGCTGGACAGTGCCAAGACTCTATGTAAATCATAAGAAATCATCATTATCATGGGAGACCTAAATGTCAAAGTAGGCAGGGAAAGGGCAGGGGATATAACAGGAAAATTTGGACTTGGAACCTGCAACGAACATTGAGGAAAATGGATCCAATGGTGCACAGCCAATGACCAGGTAGTAGCCAACAAATGGCTCCAAGATCATTCAAGATGATATGGACATGGAGGAGTCCAGAAGAAGAAACTAAAAACCAAATTGATTATATAACCATCAACAAAAGATTCAGGAATGCAATGATTCACTGCAAAACCTACCCAAGTGCCAGAAGCAATCATCACCCTCTTATATGTAAACTAAGATTGAGACTGTGGAAATTGAAGAAGCCTAATGCAGCACCCAAACTGCAATACAACAAACTTCTGAGCGATCCTAACCTGAAAGAAAAATATATGGACAATATCAAGTGAAGATATGAGTCATGCAATGGAAACTGAAAGTGGGACGCACTAAGAGACACTTTAGTGACATCAGCAAATGATATCATCCCAAAAGAGACAGGATGAAGAAGGAAAAACAATTGGGTGACTGATGAGATTCTCGACATGATGGAAAGAAGACAGAAAACTCTGCCAAGATACAGAATGGAGTACAGAAAATTACACAATGAAATAAAGACTAAATGCAGGCGAGCTAAAGAAGAATGGCAAAACAAAAAATGTGCAAAAATAGAAAGATACTTGGGTACTACCAACAAAAGAGACATGCACAAACAAATAAGACAATTAACAGGACAGAAGACATGCTCATCAACAGGCTGCTTAAAATCAAAGGACAGAACATTCATATTAGAGAATGAAAAAATTCTTCAATGCTGGAATGAGTATATTGGAGAACTCTTACACAACGAAAGGGAACAACCAGCAATACACAGAACTATCGACAGACCTGGAATTCTGAAAACCAAAGTAAAAGCCACACTGGCCAAATTGAACAGAAACAAGACAGCCGGGCTGTAAGGAATTGTAACAGAAATGCTGACAGCCTTAGATGACTTTGGCATAGACAAGATCATCGAAATAACAAATGAAATCTACAACAGTGGGGATATACCAGAAAACCCCAGCAGATCTATCTTTATAGCAATGCCTAAGAAACCAGACACAAACGAATGTGAACTCCACTGAAAAATAAGCCTGATGAGCCACATGATGAAACTCATCATATGTATTCTGTTGAATAGAGCATGCAGCAGAATCAGTCCAGAGATAGGACAAGAAAAGTGCGGGTTTGTTAAAGACACTGGAACAAGGAATGCAATATTCATTCTCAGAATGTTATCAGAAAGAATGATACAGATGCAGAAGGACATGTACCTATGTTTCATAGACTGCACAAAGACCTTTGAAAAAGTACGCCACAAGGATCTGATGGAACTGCTCAGCAACCTTGATTTATTCAGGAGGGATATCAGAATGATCAAGAACCTATACTGGTAGCAAACAGCATGCATACACATAGGGAACAAGTTCAGTGAATATACGAAAATAGACAGGGGCATAAGGCAAGAAGGCATCTTCTCACCTGACCTGTTTAACCTATACAGTGAGGCAATTCTTAGAGAATTGGAAACTCTACTGGGATTTAGTATTGGCGGCCACAACCATAACAACATAAGATATGCAGACGACACAGTACTGATAGCAGACACGGAAGAGAAATTACAAAATCTCCTACAGAAGGTAGTGACGGAGAGTAAGAAGAAAGGACTAAGCATAAACTACAAGAAAACAGAATGCATGGTCATCAGTAAGAGGAAGAGTCTGAAATGCAATTTGCAAGTCAGGAACACTAGAATCAAGCAGATGTAAAAGTTTAAATACCAAGGAAGCGTCTTGACAGAGAATGGTAAGTGCAACACTGAGATCCATAGACATGTTGGGATGGCCAAGGACACATTCCAAAAGCTAGGCAGAGTATTGTGAGACAGGAGGATTTCTTTGGTAACAAAGAAAAGAATACATGTTACATGACATCTGTTCTTCTTTACAGCAGCGAATATGGGACATTCCCCCTCAAAGATGAAGAAGAGACTTGAGGCGATGGAGATGTGGTTCTACAGAAGGATGCTGAGGATATCATGGACCGAGTGTGTGAGCAATGATGAGGTCTTAGAGAGTATGCAAACAAGGAGCAGGCTTATACTTAACATCAGGAAGAGGCAGCTGAAGTTTCTGGGACACATAATAAGGAAGGAGGGCCTGGAGAATCTGATACTCATGGGTCAAATAGAGGGAAAGAGAGACAGGGAAAACAATGCATGACCTACCTGACAAACTTGAGCAGGTGGATGACAGAACATGGTATGGGAGAGGAAGCAAAAGGAATGAACTTACTGAGAACTGCAGGGGATAGAGGGAGGTGGAGAGCCATGATCACCTACATCCTGAAAGGACATGGCACATAAAAAGAAGAAAAAGAAGCCTTTCAAGGAAAGATAAAATTTCTATATATAATATTAAGTGCCAAAAATTAACAATAATATTACTTTTGATCAGCATTTTAATTCATCTTGAATAATATATTATGTAAATGACTTGTTTTTGCAGTTGATGCCAGTTCCTCAACATTTTTCCAGAATAATCAATTATTTAATTCCAAAGGACAGCAGAAATACTCAACTGCAGATTTTATTCATGCTTTTAATAAAAATGTGAAAATATTTGTCTTCCTTCAAAACCCAGTTACAAAGTAAGAATTTTGTCATTACTTTTCATTTGAATAATTAGGTTGATTCTCAGGGACTTTCCAATATCTCTCACTCTCTCTCTCTCTCTGTCTCATATATATATATATATATATATATATATATATATATTTGTGTGTGTGTGTGTGTAAATTATTTTTAGACAGAGTGTATGTGTAAAGGAACAAAAGGGAAAACTATTCTTAGCCAATGTGTTTTGCCCTCAGAGGGATTTTATCAATGCAAATGTGTTATTTATTTTGTTGCATGTGTTCATATACAAAAGCAAGAATGTCATTGGTTTTGTCAAGGCTTTTAAATTTTAGAACCTTTATGAATATTCATCAATGTAGAAGACACAAATTGCTATATTGACCAAACTTTGAATTATGGCACTTTGTGTTCTCCATATGTCTTGACTAACCTTCTAACACTTGATGAATATTCATGAACTTCCTCAAATCTAAATGCCTTGATAAACTAATGACATCCTTGTATTTGTATATAAACACATGCAATAAAATAAATCCTACATTTCCTTTGATTATGTCCCTGAGAGGATGAATAGTTTCTCTTATTGTCTTTATATATATATATATATATATATATATATATATATATATATATATATATATATATATATATATATATATATATATATACTATAATACATATACATACATACATATGCAAATATATATAAAAAATTCCAAGAGGATAGAATCCAGGTAGAACTCAATGTCCAGGACAGAGTAAGAATATAATAAAAAGGCTTAAACACTAATATTCCATGGTTATAATTTATTACGTAGGAGTTGTAAATACGTAAAGCTTTTTAAATTTGTAGGTCTGATGAATTGGATCGTATTTACAACAATGTAATAAATTATAACCATGGAATATTAGTGTTTAAGCCTTTTTATTATATATATATACAACAGAATACATATGAACAAACCATTTTTAGTGATTACTTGTTTGTTTGTATGTAATAACTCATAATAAATAACTATTGCTCTACTTTTGGTATTGAGCCATCTTATAAATTAATGTTATGAACGTTTGATTTTCTTTTCTTTTCATTCTCATTACATTTGTGTGTGTGTGTGTGTGTGTATATATATATATATATATATATATATATGACTCCAAACTCATAATTTTACTCAGTATTACTGTTTTTCATTTCTCCAACACCCAATACAACCAGATAATGAATAATACTCATTTTGTTGTTTCCATGTTTTACTGTTTCTCATTTTTATGAGTATTTTTGCATATATAAATGTTAGGAGATTTATAATTATTTATTCAGTTTATAACTACCCTACAAGCATTTAGTTTCCTAAATTACATTTAGTAGTCTGTCTTTGCAATGAAAACATAAAATAATGTATCAAACTTGAAATAAATAAAATAAATCTTATATCTACTTCAAATAAAAAGCTATTCCAAGTTTAAAAGTAAAAATTTCATTGAATTTCTTAGGCCAACCATGGCAGTGAACTACAATAAACCCAAACTGAAGCTAAAAACCTTCACTCCCAGTGCAACAATGAGATCTGAGATAAGCCTTCAGTTCTGGAGAAGAGTTACACTACAGCAACTTCATTCAGTAACCCTCTAACTTGAGTGGCTCTTGGGCCTTGTATTGGGTGAACAACAGTATAAAAAAGGGGTTAAAATTTGGCACCTACTGTGTAATGTTACATTAGGTTCCCTCTTATTTATAGCTCATGAAAAGTATGTTCTCAAATACCTTCTTCACCTTGTATATATGCACACAGGCATAATGACTAAATCTATCATACATCCCATCATCTGCTCTCAGACAAGCAATATGGTTTCCACTTTGCCCGATCTACAGCTGATGTGCTTACGGCTGTCACTGAAATTGTCTACCAAGCTCTTCAAAATAACGGAGAAGCTCATGCCGTGGCTCTAGATATCTCCAAAGTGTTTGATAGGGTTTGGCATGCCGGCATCTTTGCAAGCTCCAGGGTTATGGAATTACAGGTCGATTGTTTGACTTAATACAATCATTCCTGTCAAACCGTGAAGTGAAGGTCGTTCTCAACTGATTCTCTTCCAGCTCCTATCCCATGAATCAAGGTGTTCCCCAAGGCTCCATCATAGGTCCTACTTTGTTCCTTATCTTCCTCAATGATCTTCCTGACATCATAGATTCCCAAATAGGGATCTATGCAGACGACACTACAATTTACTCCTGCCTCAAAATCAAATCTAGTGTTGCTGACAAAACTAACCTGGCCATTCATCTTGAAAAGGACCTCCAAGTGGTTGTGAACTGGGGCAGGAATTGGCTGGTTAACTTTAATGCCTCAAAAACAAAACTGCTCTCTATTAATCACCACAGAGATCCTTCCCTGCACCCCCCATTAGAATGTCTGATGCTCAACTTCTCGAGAGCACCTTGTTGTGGCTGCTCGATCTCACATTGTCCGCTGACCTGAGATGGAACAATTACATTGTGTCAATTGCTTCGTCCACTGCAAGGAAAGTTGGCTTCCTGTGCCGCGCCAGGAAATTTTTCTCCCCAGAATCGATCCTTCAATTCTACAAAACAACCATTCTCCCTTGCATGGAGTATTGCTGCCATATATGGCCTGGAGCCCCTTCTTTTTGCCTCGGGGTTCTTGATAAGACCCAGAGACGGATATGCAATGCAATTGGCCCTAATCTGGCATCTCATCTGCAGTCGCTCTCTCACAGACATGTCGTCGCCTCTCTCTGTCTTTTTTACAAATACTTTCATGGTAATTGCTCCGATGAGCTGCTTTCTCTGGTTTCCAGACTTCATGAATTCAAGCATCCTACGAGGCTGGCATCCCGCTCACACCCTTTCACTGTTGAAACTGTTAAATGTAGCCATATCTACTACTCCAATAGCTTCATATTTTGCACCTCTCGCCTGTGGAACTCCCTTCCCTTTTCCTGTTTCCCTGATAGCTATAACCTCCAACTATTCAAATGTAATGTCAATCGACATCTCCAGTTGCCTTGATCTATCCGCTATCCTTCTCCTCATCCTTTCCTCTATCATTCCTATCTGCTCTCGCTCCCAATCTTCTGTAACCCCTTGCATGCTAGTGGCTTCCCGCCTTGCTTGAGGTGAAATGCTTAAAAAAAAAAATATAAGCCACATGTCTTTTTTTTCAAAGAAATAGCTGAAAAAAATCACCTTGCATGTGATATACAAAGCTGAGACCTTCATAGTCGATAATTTTATCTCACCTAGCCCAACTCCATAATATCATTTGCCTAAATAAACATGATTATTATTTTCATAGTGATAATAAAGCTGTGTCAAAGTAAATTACCAATATAAACTATGGTCTTTGTAATTTGAAATATTGACCAACCCAACACAAATCAAGCCACTATCTACTGTCATACAAACCACCAACTGTTGAGAATCAAACCACTGTCTAATGCAACATGAACCACTATGATTCAATCATCAATTACTTTTTGTGAGCAGGCTTGTTACTCCACAGAAGTCAAAAGCTTAATGCTTCATGGACTCAATTTGAGTTTATATGTAGTGAAGTCATTTGTTTAAGTGGCATGATGTTTCAGTCAGTTCTTTCCACATATTTCAAACACTCACCATAATACACCAAATCTAATCTTGGCCTTTTTCTTCACTGTACATTATTATCTTTATTATTATTAGAAGACAAAGAACAATATTAAAATTATCCTCAGGATATTATGGCTGTAATTTTAACACATTCTTATTTGCTTATCAAATATTATTGTATTATTGTATTCTTATTTGCTTATCAAATATTACTGTACTGTCAAATTTGTTCTGCATTATATATTGAATTTGAGCCCTTCTATTGGTTAATTTTACCCCCAATGCTCACTTCTGTAGGCTATAATTTTGTCTCAGATGGTAACTTCTCCCTAGCCTGACACCATATAGCATTATAATTACTGGTACATTAATAGTATTACATAGCAATATATTGGTAGCTGATCCATCATACCTAAATATCAACATACTCCTATCATCAACCAGTTGGAAACTACAGAAAAACAAAACTGAAAGGAAATATCAATGATGGTATAGCTGTCTTTATGTTAAACTGTCATGGTAACTTGTTTTTTATAAAATATTCTTTCCTTTGTTTTCTTAACAGGACATTTTCACTATTTTGATTTCTTGCTTTATGTTCAACTTTTTATAACTTGTTTTTATATACAGTAATATTTTCTACTATAGCTAACATGCTTTTGTAATATATTATAATGTACTGAATATTTGCTTTAAATATTAAATACTAAAATCATTTTCTCTGACTATGCCTTACTGAAAGAGAGGTGCCTCTAATATGACCATGTGTCTTTCATGACATCAAATGCAGTTGATAATTTCTTTTTTAAATTGCATTTATTCCAAAAGTTAAATAGATTCAGTTTAATGATATTTTTCAGTTAACATTAATTGTTAAATTCTTTTATTGCAGGCTTTATGCTGATTATTTGACAAATGAAAATACATCGAATCCTCAACAGTTTCATGATGAAGTTATAGAGTCTATAACAATGTTTAAAAAGTGTCTTCAAGTTTGCAAACTAGTGGAATGTATACATCAAAAAAATTTTACCCAAACATATCCAGTAAGTTTTAAAAATAAATTTATATTTTCTGGACAAGACAAGCATTAAGACTAGAAGTTTCCAAACATATTTGACTTCCAATGTCACATGTGCAGGTGGTGTAACATTTAGAGGCAAAAAATGAGAAATCAGAGAGTGGAGTTCAAATTCTAGCTGAATTCATTATATTCACTTTTGCCCAAATACACTTAGGAAAGGTATGATTCCATCTCTTCTTTTCCTATCTATGGTGTAAATAGGAGTGTAGCCATGGTTAGCTACCAGTTTTGGAGAAGGATAAAAATTTTATATGGCCCTGTGGGACAAAAACTGAAACTATTCTACTCAGCATAGTTGTCATATGAACCACAAGTTTACAAGTTGGGAGTTGAAGAAACACAAATGGGCCTGAGCAGATTGGCATGCTCAGATTGAAGCAGCCATGCAGTAGATGAGAAATCATACTGATTTAAATTGTGCTTTACAATGTCCTTACACTTTGAAACAACTCTGATGATGAGCAACTTGATCTTTGGCAGTTCTTTGGTTGGTACTGTATTCTTTTAATCCAAGAAATTATTATAATAAAAGATTTGAAATATAATTTTTAATTATAAAAAAAATAAAGAATGATAATACCATGGACCCTCAATTGCCATTAAACTACCATGATGGTGGTTCTATAATGGTCTGAGTTATGTTAATGTTGCAGGGGTTAGGTTCACTGGTCAATCTAAACATGTCTTTAACTTGTGACTGCTATATTGCATTGCTTTATGATAATTCAAATTTACATTCATTCATGGATTTAATGGATTCCAATATTAATGGGTTATTTTAACAGGAAAGGCACTAATTTCAACATGATTGTGTTGTCCATAAATGATTTGAGGAGCATTTTGGAGAATTTGCAATGAATGGTGTGGCCACCATGTTCACCCAACACAAGCCCAATTGAATATGTATGGGATGTATTGAAGAAGTCTATTCACACACAATATTCTTCACCTAAAAATATTATGAAACTGTTGACAGCTGCTGAGATGGCATGGGTCAACATTCCTCCACAGGTCTTCTGACCACTTTTGGAACATTGAGTTGCTGCACTTCACCAGGTGAGAAGGGGTTCTAGGCACCTATCACATGACTTTGACAATTCAGTATATATATATATATATATATATATATATATATATATATATTATTAATTAATATCAAACACTTAAAATCCCATAGGTAACAATCTTTATTTCATGAGATCTCTAAAAAAGCAGCTCTCAATCTTCAAGACATAGGGAGGTCTTTAGGATTGAGAGCTTTTTATATAGACAGATATTTTAAATATATATATATATTATAAAAGGCTCAAACACTAATATTCCATGGTTATAATTTATTACATTGTAATCTTGATCACGATCCAATTCATTAGACCTACAAATTCAAAAAGGTGTTATATTGAGCTCTATCTGGATGTTATCCTCTTGGAAATATATATTGACCACTTATATTAAACATCTATCTATCTATATATATATATATGTTGAAACTTGACTAATGCATGGAATAATAATACAACACAAAATGTACTTAGAACAAAATGTATTGAAACAAGAAAGTGTACACAATATTTACATATAGTCTTTTGTATATTCTTGGGAAGACCGTTCCTGGAGAATAGTCGCAGTCGGGCAGAGTCTCTGGATTGAATCTCTTGATTCCTCCCCTCGTCTTCCCGGTACCAACCATATTTATATGGTCGGTACTCCACTATGCAAATTAAATGGATCCTACCACAACACCCTCCTCCAAAGCCTTGGAATCCCTTTTGGATTTCAAACTGGCTTCCTATATGGGTTGATGATTATGGCTATTTCTTTGTAGATCCATTTGCATACTTCATATGCATGTCCATCCGCCTAATTTTAATATTTTTTCCATTTTGGATTCACGTCCAATGGGTCCGTGAACTTCCGTTTCCTACCGGATCTTCTTGGTTCAGGAGTATTCTGTGGAGGTTCTACTTGAAACATATCATACATTATATCAATGGGATCTTCCTCCTCATCCGGTATACTCTCTTCATGCTCTATAACATTTTTTAAGTTGGTTCTGGTGCCTTTTATGAGTATTCTTCAGCCCTTTAATTATGTAAATCAGGTCACCGATTCTCTTGTCCACTATGCCTCGCTCCCAGAACTCAACGTTGTTTTTGTAAGCACTTGAAAACACCTTCTCTCGGAGGTGTATCTTTTTCTCGCTGTATACATAGTATTCTTTACTCTATTTTTTCCTGGCAAAAGCTTGTCAAACACTGACTTAACTTTCCTAGCGAACATTAGTTCAGCTGGTGCCATGTTTGCATGTGTTCCCTGGTTTGGCGTGATTCTGTATACTTGTAAGAATTGCTGAAGCGCCTTTTCCGTTGGAACTCCTGAGGCTTTCTTCAGAGCTCGCTTTAAAGTGTAGTGGGCACTCCGACGGCCCCAAGGGTGAACGAGGTCACAAGAGGCCCGCTGACATTTTAGAAGACGTTAAATCTGACGGTGAAACAATATAGACGACAGAACGAGGATATGTATGATAAATTCTAATTTATTCTAGAAAAGAAAAAGGGATAAAAGATGGTCGGACGGTAGAGGTGCAGAAGTTCTTGTGCAGGCATTGATGGTCGAGGTTGGTGTTGGTAGCTGCCAGGATGATCGTTGTTGAAGTCGATGTTGGTTGTTGCCAGGGATGATCACTGTTGATGGTTGAAGTTGATTGATGTTGGTTGCTGGCAGGATCATCGCTGTTGGTTGTCAAAGTTGATTGTTGCCGGGATGATCGCCGTTGGTTGTTGAAGTTGATTGTTGTTTACTGGCAGGATCATTGCTGTTGGAGTTGATGTCGGTAGTTGCCAGGAGTGCCACGTGTTGGTTGTTGCCGGGGTGCCAACTTGACGTGTTGGGAAGGAGAGAGAGATAGAGAGAAAGAAAAGTTCCCAACTATCGTCAAGTTGGCAGACAAAAAAAATGGGAGCGTAACTCAATACACAACGAAGGTCAAGGGGCCTGCGTAGCCGACCGTTTCGGTCGCCGACCGCCTCCCTGAATCTAGCGAGAAGTCACTGTCTTGTGACAAGGGAGACCAGCAAGAGAAATTGGATCAGCTAACCGTAAAGTCTCTATAATAAAATCCTAGGAGGTTAGCTAAAGAGAACTAAGGTCTAAAAATGACTAGTAGTATATTACAACTAGGTTTGTAATATAACCTAACTAAAAAGGGGATTTGCTAGTCCCTCCGACGTGTTAACAGTGTGTAAGGGGCATGAATGAGAGGTCATGGTCGAAATGACCTGTTCCTCTGCCGGCTCAAGGATAGAAGGAGGAGGTAACTCCGACAAAAGTATCGACAAATCTTTCTGCGAGTCCATTGGACCTCGGATGATACGGCGGCGTCGTTATGTGGTTATAACTCACAAAATTCCTTAAATTCTTCAGAAGTGAATTGTGTACCATTGTCACTCACAATACACTCTGGCACACCGAACCGTGCAAATAGTTCATGCAAAAAAGTTGTGGTATTGGACGTAGGCTTTTTGCAGCGTAGTACTTCCGGCCATTTTGTAAAACTATCTACCACTATTAAGTAGTAAAAATCTTCTACTGGACCAGCGAAATCAATGTGTAATCTTGTCCACGGATGATCCGTCTTGGGCCATGTTTTGTGTACTATAGGTGGTGCCTTAGCTGCTAACGCACACCCTTTACATCGATGAACCATGTTTTCGATATCCACATCCATTCCTTTCCAATATACAAAGCTTCGCATTAAGCTTTTTGTTCTATTAATCCCCGGGTGACCCATATGAAAGTCCCGAAGTATTCTTTTCTGCAAATTTTTTGGTACTACTACTCTTTCACCATATAATAAAACTCCGTCACCTATTGAATAAATTTCCTGTACTTTTTGGTCATTTGCTACCATTTTGCTTTTTATTTCTAAAATGAAATCATCGCTTTCAGCTTCTTTTTTAATTTCCTTTAGTGTAACCGGTAGCTCTCTTACAATGTTGTTTACCATGCTTTTCTCCTCATAATCTGCTCTGATATTTGCAATAATTGATTCTTCGAATCTTTCTTCTTGACTCGGTACGAGTCGTGATAAACTATCCGCATGAATTATATTTTTGGATGATAAGTGCTTTATGTGAAAATCATAATTGAGAAGAATGGTTCCCCATCTCAACAGACGATTTGCCGTATAGACGGGTAACCCTTTCTTTGAACCAAAAATAGTGATCAGTGGTTTATGATCCGTTTCAAGCATAAAATGTCTGCTGTGGATGTACCTGTGAAATTTTTGTATGGCAATAATGATACTCAGTGCCTCTTTTTCTATCTGGGAGTAACTTCTTTCTCCTGGGAGCAAAGTTCTCGAAGCATGTGCAATTGGTTTTCTAGAACCATCTGGCATTATGTGTTGAATACACGCTCCTATCCCGTATGAACTGGCGTCACTTGCCACTACAATATCCAGTTTTGGATTGTAATGGGTTAAAAAGAGGTCGGACGTAAGCATTTTCTTTATTTCATCAAAGGCTTTCTGACATTCTACCGTCCATTCCCATGCCTTGTCTTTTTTTAGCAGTTCATTCAACGGAGCTCTTAAATTGTACATTCCTTTAATAAACGCTTGATAATAATTTGCAAGCCCCATAAAACTCTGTAGCATCGCCACATTAGTGGGCGTCGGCATGTCTCTAATCGCAATGGACCTTTCCGGATCTGGACATCTGCCATTTTTTGTTGATTATGTGCCCTAAATACTTAATTTCCTCCAAACCAAATTCGCACTTTGACTCTTTGACTTTAAATCCAAAGTCTTGAATCTTTTTAAATACTTGATTGAGATGCTCTCGATGTTCGTCGACGGTTTCGCTCCTTACTATGATGTAGTCTAAGTAAGTGCACGCAAAGTCTAAATCATTCAACATGACGTCCATAGCTTGTTGAAAAATGGCTGGTGCCACTCTAATA